CCCAACCAAACAAACAACAAAAGCAAACCCTTTCTTTACAGGAGGTTGACATTAAACACACAGTTCAGCTGGGCACAGTGAGGTACGCCTGTAATCTCAGCATTCAGAAGGCTGAAGCAGGAGGATTACAAATTCACAGTAAATTCAAGGCTATCCTGAACTGCACAGTGAGACCAAAAATATAAAAAATAATAAAAAATATAAAAAAAATTAAAAACCCACAGTTTATGCTCAGGCCTCGGTCACTCCATGCCGGAGTCCCCTGGGTCCGATTTATGGCCGCCAAGATAAAATGCGCCTGGAGCCTGTCAGCCAGCAGCGCCCCTCCATCTTCATCCTCCCTTTCACCATCTGCCTCTTGCTCCTTCCACCTTTCCCCAGCTCAACTCTCTCTAGAATAATTGCCAAGTCCCTGGCCAGGAGCCCCCACCTTCCAGCAGCCTGCGCGGATTGCCAGCAGCTGTGCATGTGCTGCTCTTCCCTCCCTGAATGCTTTCACCACTTCTTTTACTCAACACTTCGCTCACCCTTCGTGTTCGGGTCAAATGCCCCCCCTCCAAAATACCGCGCTTACTCCTGCCTGATTTTTCTTCTAAATTTCTGGGAAGCATCCAGCTGCAAAGATTAGAGGTTGGTCCTGGACTCTGCACAACTTCCTAAATGAGTCTTCACTCCAGGTCACAGGAAGGAGGGGGCAGAGAATTCGCCACCTCTGGAAAGTCTACTCCTTTCCCTGACTCCCGTCTCTCCCGTGTCTCCCGCTGTGGCTCTGCTCCCGTCCCCAACACAAGCTGCACCCTCAAGCCAAAGCGACCAGCAGCGGCAAGCAAAGAAGACAAAAGCACCCATGGAACAAGAAAAGGCCACTTAGCAAAATCGCCCGGTTGATCGTCCCTGGGCTTAGGCACTTCCGGGAGGGTTCAAACGCCCGTATACCAACCAGCACGCACACTCTTGCTTCAAACGCCAGTCTTGGTCGGGCGGCCTGGGGCCGTCCACGTGGACACGCACAGGCGCACCATGCACACACACACCCCTCACACGGCTCACGCTACTGCCCGCCCCTCGAACCGCTACCTCCGGACCTCCAGGGCTCGGGCCGGGGCCAGCGACGTCGCCGTCGCCGTCGCGGATGCTCAGGTCGTAGACAGCACCGTCGAGCAGCACCGCGGGACGGTAGAGGCGGGGCCCGTCCGTGGGTTGGTGGCGCTCGGGATAGTCACCGAACAGGAACTGGCGGATGATGGCCGTCTTGCCCACTCCCGGAGCGCCCAGGACGGCCACCCGCAGGCTGCCCCCCATGGCCGGCCCGTGCGGGGGACACTCATGGGCCGGCGC